ACCAGACATCCCAAGAATATTGCTACACTGAAACAGTTTTGTGAAGAGGAGTGGTCCAAAATGACTCCAGATCGTTATGCAGGTCTGATCTTCAACTACAGGAAACGTTTGGTTGAGGTTATTGCTGCCAAAGGAGGGTCAACCAGTTATTAAGTCCAAAGGTTCACATACTTTTTCCTCCCTGCACTGTGAATGTTTACATGTTATGTGCAATTAAACCATGGCAACATCTAATGTTTGTGTAGTATTATGTTCAGCAGACTGTGTTCTTCTATTGTTGTGACTTAGATGACGTTCAGAGCACATTTTAAGCCCAAGTTCATGCAATCTCCACGTAATCCCAAGGGGTTCACATACTTTTTCTTGCAACTGTACATCATATGGTAAAAATCTGCATTTTTTTGCTGGAATATTACTTTAAACCCCAAAACAATTATACATTTTCTGAAAACAGAGGCCCTGCATAAAAAAGGGCCTCTGGTGGTGGCAATTGCAATTATTTATGTTGCATGATATATGCACAATTGTTTGTCAAATGCATATTTTCAGGGAGAAAATACTACAAGATGGGCTTGTATCGAGTAAATAGATAGACAACTTGTTAAGTCTTAAATTTGTGTTCTTTGGTGAAACAGCAAAAAACTGGTATCCAGAATTATCCATAGGCTTTTTACAGGCTTTCAGTTTAGATGTAACCATGAATTTTGGCACTAGAAATATTGCTTTCAATCAGATGTTTGTGGCAGTACCTCACATGTGTCACACAATCGCCTTTTACATGTGAGTTTACACAATGCAGCAGCCTTGAGCTTGCTTTAACCCCTTTACTACCAGGACCTTTATGAACATGCCTTGATATAAGTGGTTTAACCTCTCTTACCTATTATTCTGGGTGGTCCTCAATTCACATACTCTCCTGCCCAGTAAGTTCACTGCTGTCCTGCTGTGATCCACCAATCTGCTTCCACAGCCTGGGCCCTTTGCCACCATCTTGGTCCTACTCAGTCATCAGGAGTCCGCTGTCCCTTCCAGGTTCTTGCAGCCAGCCCCTGATAATGCACACTCTGCCTGTAGCAAGCGTACACACAGAGATGGACGCGGTTCAACCATTCTGCTCCAACCCTCCATCTTGTAGACCCTTCTCCCCCTCTTTGATCATCCCCCCTCCCTCTCTGTTGAGTGACATGTGGTCGGTGTGTGTTGGCAGAGGTCAGAGGCAGCCAAAGCACAGTAGGGAGCTCTGAGCTATAAAACCCCCAAGGGAGCGGGGCCTAGCTGTTTAAGAAACTGTGCAATCTGGCATATCGTAAAAGTATAAACCAAGTCCCTCACTGAACTTCAAAAGACCTTCCAAGGGGTCGTAAAGACAGACTTACTTTTAAAAACTCACATTTTCATATAAGTTGATATCTTCACGTAGGACCTAAACACGGAGCCCATGTTCGGAAGGCTCAATTTGAGATCATTCTCCTGGTATGTTACACCCCTTAGCTGGCATACATAGAAAAGCAGAAAAGTACATCTCCGTAACCATTCAAGTGTATATGACGTGTCATCTCTAACTATTCCGCAGCTGCGGCTGAATATTAATATACTAGTGGCCAGGCCGGCAAGTGCCCCTAGACCAAGTAATGAATTTTAATGGCAGCTATGAGAGTTTCTGGGTATAACTTAAGTCTCCTCCTACACTCCCCTCCCCAAAAGGAGAGGATTGGTTTACTACTCCAAAGAGACACCCTGCTGAGATCCTAGAAAAAGGGCTGTTATGCTTGGAGTTGGGTCTGTGAGAGAAAGCAGAGTCTCCCAATTAACCTCGAAAGGGAGTGAGAGACAAGAAATCCTTTTTGAGCTCATAAGACTTAAAACTGCTTAAACCAAGGCTGATTGGCAAGTACTTTAGCCCTATAAACTCCTTTCTGTTATCTCTTTGCTGCTATTGCTATTGTTCTCTGTATATTTATATATATATATATATATATATATATATATATATATATATATATATATATATATATATATATATGGTTACATCTTTTTTTCTGTAAATATTTTTATTGCACCCTTTTGACCTTTTAGTAATAAATCTTTCTTTCTGAAAGTGATGAACGGTTTCTAAAGCTCTTTAATGCAACTTATGAATTCCTGCCGCTGAAGAGCGCTACTATGTGTGTTTAACCCTCTGTATAACCTGCCTGCGGTGACAGTGGTATACAGACGATTATTTCAACCATCATAGTGTTATTGCTGATATTGCCGAGTTTCCTCTTTCTCTGTACAAAATGGAGGTGGCGGCAGTGTGAAGGGTTAATTGCGTAATTAACTTGACCCAGTAACAATCGCGCTCAGGCTGCAAGCACACAGGTTGTGGACCATTAGCTGGAAAATCTGTGTGCAGGGCGCAGCTGGGCGTGGCATTGTTACGCACGTGACATCGCGGTTTTAGATTGGCTAGTCCTTCGGTCACGAGTTTGGTGAGAAGGGCTGGTGTCAGGAAAGGACTCACCACTGATAGTGCTGGGGCTCACCTGCTCTATGGGCTGCAGTACCAGTTCTTGCCAGCGGGTGCTTTTCAGCAGCCAGGATCTCACCTCCTGCAATCAAGCCATCACCTGAGGCTGATTGCAGGAGGTGTATTTAAGCAGTAATCAGGCCTGCAATCGGTGCCTTGGTGTATTGTTCCCATGTGCCTGTGATAACCTGTTTTCCTGAACCTGCTCCCTGTGATCTGCTCCGTGTCCTGTCTGCCTCTCTGTACCTCTTGGTTAATCAACTATGTATGACCCCGGCTAGCCCTAACTACTCTTTTGTTCTGTATATATTGGGTGAAGGTTTCTGATTGGTTTTTACTTGCACGGTGCGTTTGTATATTGGTGTGTTGCACAAATGAACTATATTATTACATTGCTCCTGAAGCCTGCTATTCCCTGTCAGTCCACACATCTCTGGTCATACCTGTATTCTTGACAGCTGGGGTCTGACGTCGCGATTGTCACACTGCCCACTAGCCGGTTTGAATTCCTGCTGCTGCAGATATCTGGGATATGCGGTGTAGATATCCCAAGAAGTTGCAGGAGCATTTAGGTGTAGGGGCAACGCTGGACTAAAAATGTTTTAAAAAGTTAAAAAAAAAAGTTTATAGCTCACGGTGGGGCAGGAGAGTGCAAGGGGGTTAAGCCGTTTCGGAGAACAAAAGTCCTTTTTTGAACAGTACATGAACAGGAGGCTATAATGTTGTTTTTTTTTCTATGGATATTGTGTGTGTATGTGTGTGTGTGTGTGTGTGTGTGTGTGTGTATACAGTCAGGTCCATAAATATTGGGACATCTACACAATTCTAACATTTTTGGCTCTATACACCACCACAATGGATTTGAAATGAAACGAACAAGATGTGCTTTAACTGAAGACTGTCAGCTTTAATTTGAGGGTATTTACATCCAAATCAGGTGAACGGTGTAGGAATTACAACAGTTTGCATATGTGCCTCCCACTTATTAAGGACCAAAAGTAATGGGACAATTGGCTTCTCAACCGTTCCATGGCCAGGTGTGTGTTATTTCCTCATTATCCCAATTACAATGAGCAGATAAAAGGTCCAGAGTTTCATTTCAAGTGTGCTATTTGCATTTGGAATCTGTTGCTGTCAACTCTCAAGATGAGATCCAAAGAGCTGTCACTATCAGTGAAGCAAGCCATCGTTAGGCTGAAAAAACAAAACAAACCCATCAGAGAGATAGCAAAAACATTAGGCGTGGCCAAAACAACTGTTTGGAACATTCTTAAAAAGAAGGAACGCACCGGTTGGCTCAACAACACCAAAAGACCGGAAGACCACGGAAAACAACTGTGGTGGATGACCGAAGAATTCTTTCCCTGGTGAAGAAAACACCCTTCACAACAGTTGGCCAGATCAAGAACACTCTCCAGGAGGTAGGTGTATGTGTGTCAAAGTCAACAATCAAGAGAAGACTTCACCAGAGTGAATACAGAGGGTTCACCACAAGATGTAAACCATTGGTGAGCCTCAAAAACAGGAAGGCCAGATTAGAGTTTGCCAAACGACATCTAAAAAAGCCTTCAAAGTTCTGGAACAACATCCTATGGACAGATGAGACCAAGATCAACTTGTACCAGAGTGATGGGAAGAGAGAGTATGGCGAAGGAAAGGAACTGCTCTTGATCCTAAGCATACCACCTCATCAGTGAAGCATGGTGGTGGTAGTGTCATGGCGTGGGCATGTATGGCTGCCAGTGGAACTGGTTCTCTTGTATTTATTGATGATGTGACTGCTGACAAAAGCAGCAGGATGAATTCTGAAGTGTTTCGGGCAATATTATCTGCTCATATTAAGCCAAATGCTTCACAACTCATTGGACGCCGCTTCACAGTGCAGATGGACAATGACCCAAAGCAGACTGCAAAAGCAACCTTCTTTTTTTTTAAGGGAAAAAAGTGGAATGTTATGCAATGGCCAAGTCAATCACCTGACCTGAATCTGATTGAGCATGCATTTCACTTGCTGAAGACAAAACTGAAGGGAAAATGCCCCAAGAACAAGCAGGAACTGAAGAGAGTTGCAGTAGAGGCCTGGCAGAGCATCACCAGGGATGAAACCCAGCGTCTGGTGATGTCTATGCGTTCCAGACTTCAGGCTGTAATTGACTGCAAAGGATTTGCAACCAAGTATTAAAAAGTGAAAGTTTGATTTATGATTATTATTCTGTCCCATTACTTTTGGTTCCTTAATAAGTGGGAGGCACATATGCAAACTGTTGTAATTCCTACACCGTTCACCTGATTTGGATGTAAATACCCTCAAATTAAAGGTGACAGTCTGCAGTTAAAGCACATCTTGTTCGTTTCATTTCAAATCCATTGTGGTGGTGTATAGAGCCAAAAATGTTAGAATTGTGTAGATGTCCCAATATTTATGGACCTGACTGTGTGTATATATATATATATATAACAATAACTCCCTTTTTAACTTTTTTTTTCTGCAGATTTATCAAGCTGTGCTTTGAATGCTTTTCCACTTGGTCTGTACCTGACTACAAGTTCAGTTTCTGATAAGATCACCTCCATCTCTTTGGCTGATAATGAGATAAAGAATCTGCCGGGCAAATTCTTTAATACTTATCAGAACTTAGAAAGTAAGTGAAATTTCATTTATTTCTGAAAATGTCATGTATTCTTCACATAAAAACAAACCAAATGTAAACAGAGTGTAGTTGCCATCTCCCTCATAGGGCTCGTTCACACTTGACTAATTTCTAACTCTTGCAGAATGCCCCTATAGCGTTTGACAAGCGTTAGACAGGCATTTGGGAAGCATTTTTAACACTCCTCAAATGCTCCCCAAACGCCCTATATGCATTTTTGAGGCAGTGCTACATATAAGAAACATTTAACTGTATCAACATGTATAATTCTAATAAATCAAAGTCATTTGTAAATGTTACTCCTCAGGCGCAATACATTTATTGTGATCCTAGCCTCAAAGGTGGAACAACTCAAATTTATTTACATCTAAATTTCCATGTAGTATCAACTGGTATGTATACATTATGTCAATATGTATAAATGTGTTGTATAGAATACTCTACTCTGCCAAATGTGTTTGTTAGTATATACTATGTTACCACAATGGGGTTGAGCATACTTTTAAGTGACGTTACAAACAGAGTAAAGTCATGATTCTTTTCTATGATAAGCAAATCCAATCGGATAAAACGAGCGCTGGATAAACATAAAAAGGAGCAGCTAGCATGAAAAGGTAAAAACCTCAAACCCTCTCATCAATAATAAAATTAAACTCATGCAGCGCTAAAAGTATGATAAAACACATAAAATCGTAAATTATAAATTATATGATACCAATATAACAAAATTTAATATGAAAGTGACCAAGTTCAATGACCTTATCTGTTATAGTGACATAAATAGATAATAATATAAGATGACAAGCTATAATATCCGCAAAGGTTTAAAAATATGAAAGTGACCAAGTTCAATGACCTTATCTATTATAGTGACATAAATAGATGACAAGATATATCCACAAAAGTTTAAGGTGCCAGAAATCAATACACGCACTATGGCATATGGTGAAGTGCAAATATACGCACTATAAACATATGGTGAAGTATAGATGTGATAAGAACGTCCCCAATTGGCTTTTCCAGGTGCATATGTGATTAGTCTCTGATTAGTGTAGATCCGTGATGGTGAAAGATAAAATAAATGACCGTAGATTGTACTCACCAGAGAGCGCAAATGAATGCGCATTTGAGTATTAAGGACCAACTCCTGGTCATCAGCATCAGGTTACTTAAAACATCAGGGGGGCAGGCAGCACACCATCAGGTAGTATTCGGCACCGAGGATAGATTAGCCACCAGGGGAATCACACTAGTAACTTCAGTCAGGTCACAATGGGTATCTTTGTGGAAAAGATTCACCAGAAGTGAGCCAAAACAAAAAGACTTCCCATAGTGTAGTAACTTTTAATTTATTCAAAGTTAAAATGAAAAGATGAAATAAACTCACAATGGATAAATGATGTCCAAATAGTAACAATCTGGTACTCTGATGTCCATAAGAAAGTGTACCAAGCATACTGTGTCAATGAGGCAGGCTTCCTGACATGTTTTGTGCACAAGCACTTTTTCAAAGGCAGCCTGCCTCTCCTCATAACACTTCTTTTATATGGAAGTTCGCACATGTGCAGTACCGTCTGTCACCACCGTTTGGACATGCCTAGAACGCTCAAGCGGCGGCCATTTTACTGTAGACCATACATGCCATAGAAAGCATAGGAACCATGCCATTCAAGGCAAGACAAGAGAAGGTGAAGGTCTCCATGTTAATATTTGATCCAGGCAATTAAATATTAATATTTAACTCAATGAAAAGCCCCCGCTGATAAAGGATGTGGGGTAGTTATTCTCGACAAGAAGAATTATCTATCCCAAGTATACGAGATCCTTAATAATAATAACACTTATACGGAATTCCGTAGGAACCCGCTCATTCCCTATAACAGAATGCTAAAATCAATTCTCAAATGGGGTTTTGATGCAGGGATTCTACATAAAAGGGAGAGAATGAATATCTCTGCCCCACCTCCCCTAAATTACTGATTCTCTACTGTCTACCTAAAATACACAAAAACCCGGTCAACCCCCCAGGTAGGTTGTTAGTTAGTGGTATTGGACACCACACCCCCCCCCCCCCACACACAGCACACAGGAAAAAAGGAACTCGAAGAGCTGTGTTGTGAGTAGATAAGCTGTGTGCTGAGCTCCCTCCCCATCACAAATTTATCTCATGTGTCAGGATAACTTCACAGCAGTGACTTATGCTGGTAACAGAGGAACAAAGCACTAGACAGAAATTACACTTGGAGCTTTATGCCTCTTTCACACGGCCGGTTGTTCTGCCGCTTGTAAATGAATGTTTTTTTATTTTGAAATTCCAACACTCCTGGCACAGAGATCACTTGTGTTTGTACATTGCGTTTATCTGCGTTTACGTGCGGCTGCGTTTAGCTGCATTAATAAATTCTTGCCTTTTCTATAGCAACTGTTTACTTATTTCTTCTTTATACTGCGATTAATTGCGTTTATGTACAGATAGCTGCGATACATCGCTCCTGGACGCTGTCAACTTTATTTTTCCTAAATGCATAAAAACTGTTATCAAAACGTTGCTAAATGCAGTGTGTGAATGGAGCAATAGAGATGCATTGTCAGCATTTAGCTGCGGTAAATACGTTCCTCTAACCGCATCTAAAAGCTGAAATCTAACCGCTGTGTAAAAGGGACCTTAGAAAAAGATAAGTAAACACTACAGATGTACAGTTGTGTTCAAAATAATAGCAGTGTGTTGAAAAAAGTGAATAAAGCTCAAAATCCTTCTAATATCTTATATTTCCATACACACAAATGCATTGGGAACACTACACATTCTATTCCAAATCAAAACATGAAGAAAAATATATCAAATTTGTGTTGTTCCTCTAAAACAATTTAAGAAAAGCGAATATTAGACTGTTCAAAAAAATAGCAGTATTTGTATTCTTCTTTACAAACTCAAACATTCACTATATAAACTGAAAACTGTTTGAAGATTTTGCTTTCCTTTGAATCACTTAATTAATATTTAGTTGTATAAGCACTGTTTCTGAGAACTGCTGTACATCTGTGTTGCATGGAGTCAACCAACTTCTGGCACCTGTGAACAGGTATTCCAGCCCAGGATGATTGGACTACATTCCCCAGTTCTTCTCTATTTCTTGGTTTTGCCTCAGACTGCATTTTTTATGTCACCCCACAAGTTTTCTATTGGATTAAGATCCGGGGATTGGGCTGGCCACTCCATAACGTCAATCTTGTTGGTCTGGAACCAAGATGTTGCATGTTTACTGGTGTGTTTGGGGTCGTTGTATTGTTGGAACACCCATTTCAAGGCATTTCCACTTCAGCATAAGGCAGCATGACCTCTTCAAGTATTCTGATGTATTCAAACTGATCCATGATCCCTGGTATGCGATAAATAGGCCCAACACCGTAGTATGAGAAACATCCCCATATCATGATGCTTGCACAACCATGCTTCACTATCTTCACAGTGTACTGTGGCTTGAATTCAGTGTTTGGGGGTCGTCTGACAAACTGTCTCCGGTCACTAGACCCAAAAAAGAACAATCTTACTTTCATCAGTCCACAAAATGTTGCGCCATTTCTCTTTAGGCCAGTCAATGTGCTCTTTGGCAAATTGTAACCTCTTCAGCACGTCTTTTTTTCAACAGTGGGACTTTGCGGGGGCTTCTTGCAGATAGCTTGGCTTCACATAGGCGTCTTCTAATTGTAACCGTACTCACAGGTAACTTTAGACCTTCTTTGATCTTCCTGGAGCTGATTGTTGACTGAGTCCTTGCCATTTTGGCTATTCTTCTATCCATTTGATTGGTAGTTTTTCGCTTTCTTCCACGTCTTTCAGGTTTTGGTTGCCATTTTATAGCAATTGCGATCATTTTAGCTGAGCAGCCTATCATTTTCTGCACTTCTTTATATGTTTTCCCCTCTCCAATCAACTTTTTAATCAAGGTATGCTGTTCTTCTGAACAATGTCTGGAACGACCCATTTTCCTCAGAATTTCACTGCACTGTAACCAGCATGTACAATATTTGTTGCTTTCCTTCCTTAAATAAGGGCAATAATTGCCACCTGTTTTTCAAAGAATGAATGACCTCACTAATAGAACTCCACACTGCTATTATTTTGAACATGCCCCTTTCATTTAGTGATTCAATTACACAGAATCAGCAGCATGCATGTCATGACTGTTGGGTCTGTTGGATTTCTATTACTCTACTACACCTGCTAGTAAATTATTTGCCATGTAGAAATATAATTTCTACCAAAAACAGTGATTGATCAGGTTATTGATGTCTGACTGCTATTATTTTTGACACAACTGTATGTGCTTTGTTCAGATTTCATGACTGAGGTTTACAACCACTTTAACCACTTTCCTACCGGGCACTTATACCCTCTTCTTTACCAGGCCAATTTTCAGCTTTCAGTGCTGTCGCACTTTGACAATTGTGCGGTCATGCAAGATTGTACCCATATGAAATTTTTATCTTTTTTTTCCTCACAAATAGAGCTTTCTTTTGGTGGTATTTAATTGCCGCTGGGTGCTTTACTTTTTGCGCTATAAACAAAGTGTGCAAAAAAATTTGAAAAAAAAAGTTTGTTTCTATTATAAAATTTTTCAAACAGGTAATTTTTCTCCTTCACTGATGTGCATTGATGAGGCGGCACTGATGGGCACTGATAGGCAGCACTGAAGGGCACTGTTAGGCAGCACTGATAGACAGCACTAATGAGGTGTCACAGATAGGCGGCACTGATAGGCAGCACTAATGAGGTGTCACGGATAGGTGGCACTTATAGGCGGCACTGATGATGGGTACTGATAGACAGCACTGATAGGTGGCACTGACTGGCATCACTGCTGGGCACTGACTGGCAGCACTGCTAGGCATTGACTGGCACAACTGCTGGGCACTGACTGGCACAACCGCTAGGCACTGACTGGTGGCACTGACTGGTAGCACTGCTGGGCTGCATTGATGGGCACTGG